GTTGGTAAGTCTTAGGAAGACAAACGTCAAGGTCAAATATGGGCCTCCTGGTGGATGACCTTGGTACTGCAGCAGAACTTCCGGTTTTTGTATCTTTTGTCCTGAACATGCTATGGTCTTGATGTTTTGGTGACAGATTGCTTTTTCCTGTCAGGAATAAGTGGTGTGAGTTTTGTCCCCCTAGCAGCTTGTTCTGGAACTGCAGGGCACTTTCTGGCGAAATGTTTAAAAGCCAATAAGTCAAGATAGGAACAACATATTTTCATAATTTTTGGTGTGTAGGTAGCTGAGAGAGAGATGTACATGATTAAATGCAAATTATGCAAATGAGGACTTTATTTGCATAATTAATAGAGGAAATTCTATAATTACAGTGTTTTACATTATACTATGTAGCCTATGGCAGGCGGAACTTCAACAGATACTAATTATGCAAATGATGACCTAATTTGCATAATTAATGTGAAAATTCTATGATTTCGTAATGGTGAATGATGAGAATGCCATACTTGGGACATCTGTAAGTTAATCAAAAGTTAACATACATCACGATGCATATATCATGTTAATGCAGAGGTCATTTGAACAATTAAAGAAGAAATTTACATATCAAGATCATATTTCATGGAGGTATGAGGTCTCGGAATTCTAGTTTTTATTTACATTTTTGTTGTTTCCACAGGAAGCTACAGAGGAGGAGTTGGAGAGAATGTTAGACAAGATCATGGTCCTCTTTAGATTTATACATGGTGAGCTGTATGTTTTTTTAAAATGACAATGGTGTGTGAATACAATAACCCCAGAAACTCAAGAAGTCTTACTCTTATGAGTACCTCTTAGAGGTACTCTTTTGTACATGGTAGTGGTATGTGGACAGGACTTGTTGAGACCTCGAAATGAGTAGGTTTGGGCTACCTAGCCACTCGTTATGATACATGTACTTCAGTAGAACTTCCAGTTTTGAAATCTCCTTACCTGAGTACCCTTAGGTCACAAAGTTTAATTTGTCTGATAGTTACTGTGAACTTCTTCAAAGTAGACAAAATACCAAAACCAAGTCCACAGGTTGTTAAATGTCAGACATATTGCAGTGCTAGTGACACTTGCTCCTTATTGCACCAGGTAAGGACGTGTTTGAAGCCTTCTACAAGAAAGACCTGGCCAAGAGGTTGTTGGTGGGGAAGAGTGCATCAGTAGACGCTGAGAAGTCCATGCTGTCCAAACTCAAGCAAGGTACACATGTGTACTCACTATAATTGTAATTATCATGATTATGTCATGATCATCATTCATTTTCAATTGGAAAAACATTTTATATCATGGGTTTGATTGTTATGTTTACCGAAGGAAAACATATTGTTTTTGCTCTGTTTCCTCTTCTTCTCCAAACGAATAAGGTCATTGACCTGAACCAGATGTCTGTCACCATGGTAACTGGTGTTGGGTTACAGCAGGAGAGATTTAGACTCCTGTCTGACCATATATTTATATGAATGTGTTTGAGTAAGAATTAACAGAGCAGACCATATGCGAAGGGTAAGCATTATGCATTTGCTTTGCAAATGTTATGTTTCTAGTGTTTATTATTTATTTTGTGCTATGCTTCATTCTTAATGGGAAAAACATTTTATACTGTGGGTTTGATTGTTACCATTCCATATTAACTCTCCAGAGTGTGGAGGTGCCTTCACTAGTAAGTTGGAGGGCATGTTTAAAGACATGGAGCTTTCCAGAGATATCATGGTCCACTTCAAACAGGTGAGACACTAACTCAACCAAAACACTTAGTACCAGTTCTTTCATGTGAATGCATGTAGTTTCAGCAGATTAGTAAATTATTCAAAAATAAAGTTCTTATAACACCAGCCTGAAAGAAATTAACCTACGGGTAGTCAATGTTTCAATTTCACTTCTTCTAGCCAAATGGTGGCATTGGTTATGCCTGGCCAAGGCAGCTTCTTTAGGCCACAGCAAGTAATTTTTATGGATGACATCAGGGCGCGCATTAATTTTCGCCTGATTTTGGAGAGAAAAAAAAAAGAAATTTGAATGCCCTCTGACAGTGATCAACATGCCAAAAATGGGCAAATATGTCTGTTGCCATGCCGGAAGGTGGATGGCAGATAACTATGAAGAGAGGAGACAAGAAAAGGCTATGATGTACAGTAATGTTTTGTTTCTTACTTTGAGCAGTGACATGTGATGTTGGCTGTGTACATTGTATATGTGATGACCCCACTGAATCAAAACCATTTGTACAGTGATTGAGTCAAAATTTGAAAATGTAGGAACCTTGTTTTTTTGGACCCGCCTTGTTTTGTTTTTCGCCCGCTCGCATTAGATTTGGAGTCTGCGGAGGATGTCATCCATAAAATTACTTGCAGTGGCCTTAGGTTGTGTTTTAAGAACTTTGTTATAATTTTATGAGTGCCTGCTTTTCTAACTTTGTGACCATCAGTCTCTTTATGTGTATGTCATTTATTCAAGAGAACCCAACCTATCAAACTCCACTGTTGTTTTACATATTCTGGTGTCGCTTTGAAGTTTTTGCTCTATGTGAGTATCTGCCAGGTTTCAGTACCTTTCTGATTTCGGCTGAGCTTTGTACTATTTCCCTTTCCTTTTTTATTTTCTGTGTGTGTACATGTATGGTTTTTCTTCTCCTCTGTGTGTGTGTTTCAATGTGTACCTCTGTCATACCACATGGACAAGTATGCTCAACACAAGGCTAAAGGTGTTGACGAGGTACGTTATAGGACGTATAGTGAGTTTGTTTGCAAATACAGATTCGAAATTGTTGCATTGGTATATTTGTTGTAGTGAAAAGCAACCATGGGTCATTGAATCCCTTTTTGGCAATGCCTAGGGGAAGAGAGTTTTTGTTTAGTATTTTATGATTTTTTTTTCCTAGACTGGGTTTTACACATGCAATGTATTCCTTTTTTGCATTGATGCATTATACAAGATTTTTATTATGATAGCACTGTTTTCTCTTTTTTTAATGCTTAAACTTAAAGTGTCAGTACTTTTAATTGGAATTCTAAGAAATGTTTCACATGGACTAATGATAGCCTGGTTACCAGACCTATTTTAGCTCCTGAGTCTTGAGGTCTGGTAGCCAGGCTGTGATAATAGGGCCATTGTGACCACATGATTTAAACATTGTGTGATGATTATGCATGTATTTCAGCACATCCAGCACCAGAAAGACTCCATCAGCATAGACCTGACAGTGAACATCCTGACCATGGGGTACTGGCCCACATACATCCCCATGGAGGTACACCTCCCACCCGAGGTGAGGAAGTCTTCAGAATCTGGAACTTTCAACTTAGACAGCTTGTGGCCAAGTGTTGTATGGCTGAGGGTTAAGGCTAGCAGACACAAGACCGAGAGGTCACGGGTTTGATTCCTGGCAAGAATCGAAGTTGTGTCTTTGGGAAAGGCACTTCACATGATTTTCTTCAATGCACCCAAATGTAAAATGGGTACCTGACTTTAGTTGGGAAGGTACATTTTTGTAAATGGCAGTGGAAGGAAAGGGATGGGCTCTGCCTTTCAATACTGTTCCCAGGACACAGTGGATTAACAACCCACTGCCCCTTTGGCCTGAAAAGTGTATGGGACTAACTTTTCCTTTTTTACTTGTCATGCTGAGAACTACAAAATGTACAACCTTCTCCATTGACATATAATGTTATGTTCAAGACACAGGTACATAATTATAAAATGTGTGTAATTTTGTTGATTGTTTGTTTAGATGGTGAGGTACCAGGAGATCTTTAAGTCCTTCTACCTGGCCAAACACAGCGGGCGTAAGTTACAGTGGCAGCCAACTCTCGGGCACTGTGTACTCAGGGCTGACTTCAGAGCGGTAAGTGTCATCTACATAACTTGAAGACATGACAAAGCAAGCTGTTATAGACACACTCATAATTGGAAAAAGCTTTTTTCGGTATATGGTGAGTGGTGGCTCTGTAATACAAATGTACTACATGTACATGTACCCATGTTTGCATAGATAGAACTTTCTGTTGAGTCCGAATATTTTTAGACAAATATTTTAATAGTACATATACAAATGTAGTGTAAAATTAATTTATGAATGAATGAATGAACTTTGACATTTCTTGTAAGGCAACAACTATGAAACGACTTAGATTAATCTATCCTACATTTTATAACATTTATAACTATCTTCATGTATGGATGATTTGGTCTTGCTTTCGGATTGAATATATTGACCTGCATTTATGTAGGCGATGAAGATGCTGGACATGCTAACAGTACATGTACATGTAAAGATACATTGTATACAGTTGTCTACTTGCTGGTTTGACAACTTTCTTTCTTTTTTTTTAACGGAATGGTTCAATGCAAGGCCTATACGACCACTTCTCGGCATTGAACTAGAAATATGAGAGAAACATGGCTATGTGAAGAGATGGTGGTGAACATTTGATTTGAAAGCCTGTAGATTGTAGGTTGGTGGGAAACACTTGTCAGGGAGGGAATTCTAAAGCTTGGCCGAACGGGGAAAGGAACTGTCACTGTAAAATGATTTCGAACAATATTGTTTCCCCCTCAGGGTAAGAAGGAGCTGCAGGTATCTCTGTTCCAGTCCCTTGTACTCATCATGTTTAATGATGGAGACGGCTTCACCACAGAGTACATCAAACAGTACACAGGCATCGGTCAGTCAGAACTCTACTCTGTAGATATCATCATACATCTTCATCATGTTGGTAGGACGTAGGATAACAAGATATCAAAGATGTTACTTCTAGGAGTTTTTGTGTTATTTATTGTGATTTTCTTACTGATTCTGTCCATGCATTTTCCCCACCAAATCCCATAAAGCAATAGACATGCATTTGTAAGGATATGTCAAGGTCAAAGACGAAGACATGGTAGCTGAAGTGCCCTCGGTTCGATGGGTGACCTCTCTCTCCAATTCTTTCTGATACTGACTTGACTACATGGTTACTTGGGTTTTTATACTCTTAGCTGCCTACACATACATTTCTTGGAAAAAGTGCATCATACTTCCTGTATCAGTCATGTTGAATCACTTCCTCAGACATTAGTGGAAAATCCCTGACCATTACCAAATAAGGCAACGTCCAGCCACTGGGACCTTAGGTCCCCTACCGTCAAGACCCCATTAGTTCTTCCTTGGTCATTAACTAGCTGTCAGTCAAAGGCTGTAAACTTTTTCTGAGAAAGGAACGGGGAACTGAGTGACTCAGTACCAGGAAAGTAATGTAACAGAAACTAACTACACTGTATTAATATATAATAACACAGTGCTAGGTCACCCTATTACACATGTAGCAGGCAATTGAAGATGGGAAATGAGATAACCTTTTCTGGGACCTTTGCCCTAGCTTCCTATCAGTGTCCCAGCATGTGGTAATAACTGCAAAAACACATGCAAACACACAGCCACAAGAAAAGAGGTAATACATGTAAGTAACGTTCTTGTGACCCGTGGAAGAAGTTCACGGATATTTTTCCCGCCTGTACAGAGGATGGGGAGTTGAGGAGAACGTTACAGTCATTAGCCTGTGGGAAGGCCAGGGTCATCATCAAAACCCCAAAGGTTGGTTTGAATTGAGTTTTACAAAATGTCCGCTCATGTCAATGACCTGAACCAGACGTCTGTCACCATGGTAACTTGTGTCGGATTACATCATGTTGCAATTTTATAGCAGGAGGAATTTAGACTCCTGTCTGGCCATCTATATGAATGTGTTTGAGTAAGAATTAACAGAGCAGACCATATGTGAAGGCAAACATTGTGCATTTGTTTTGCAAATGTTACCTTTCTAGTTGTGTATTAAAACCTTCTTAATACATGTAAGTTTCATAGGTCTTTAATCAAAGTGGCTTTTCTTTATTCCAGGGTAAAGAAGTTGAGGATGGGGATCAGTTTCACTTCAACAATGACTTCAAACACAAACTGTACAGGATCAAGATTAACCAGATCCAGATGAAAGAAACGGTCAGAAACATGTCTTTCCTGTTGCTATTTATTTAAAAAAAACCATCAACATCTACAATGTACATGTCATGAAATAAATGCCCATAGTTGTCCTTGTAGTTTTCTGTGTTTTTGGCGACGCCTCAGGGGCGGAGGCATTTTTACAGTATATTACGATCAAGCTGAAAATATTTAGAAAATTTTACGAATGCATTCCCTGGGGAATTGGTTTTGAGGTAGCCTCCGGCCATGTGGTCTTTGGACCGAGAAGGAAAGGCTTATGTTACCATGCATGCAAATAGTACGTTTTGGGGCGAAACTGTGGCTTTTTGTCACACAGAGTATTAATTGTCTTTCTTGATATTTCAAATATGTTATCTTCTGTCAAGAAAGAACAAATTTTGTTGCTCATAAGAAAGAATAAGGAGCAGCATATTCAAGCTTATAATGCTTCAAATATGTTTTTACTTTCAACTATATGATGCTGGTCGTTTTTTAAAATAACTTTACTGTGTGATACATGTAATAGTAGTGTTTTGTGTAAGGGATTTTATTCACTTGTGTGTTTTTATCATGTATGTTTGTGTCAGTCTTACTTAATTTTTTTATTTTTTTTTTGCTTTCACGATGCTGTTGCATTCAATGCTTCTTTTTCAATTTTCTTGTATAATTTCCTGCTGCTGTCGGTATCTCAGCTTGGACGTGGCGGAAGTTAACCTGTGAATATAAAGAGATAAAAGAGCATAAATGAATACATCATACTTTGGCCAGCTATGATTAACTTAAATTGACAAGATTTGGGGTCAAACAAAATCAAATCAAGAAGTCATAGATGGCTTCTCTATCAGGTCCATTTGTAGATATCTTTTGAAGGTTGGAAGGGACTGACAATTTTGTTGTAAATGATTTAAACTATTCCGTATTTGGTGGCCTCTAAACATTATAGTGAACTGTTTCATATGGTGCATCTGGTGGAAAAAACTGGGTAACGGTTTTTTTAGTGTAGGATTCAATTTTAGCAATTGTAAGGTAGATATAATATTGCAAATACAACCATAATGATTGGAGGTTGAAATCAAGTCTGCACAAGCCATACAAATTAACTTTAGCTGAGACATATAGTAAAAAATACATGTAGTCTGAAATAGAAAAAATAGTCTAAAATAGAAATGAAGTAGAAATTGACTAAACGTTTGTAGATACCCCAGGGGTCAACTTATGGTTGAAATAACATGTGTTTATTCTAAAGTGAGCTACACACGGCCTGCCTTACTAGCAAGTCATAGTTGAATTGCATCAGTAACGGACCAGCCGTCACTGCATGAAACTGAGAAGGTGACGCCTGTATACGACAAGCCCTTCAGAGAATACAGAGGAAAGGGTTAGCCCCTAATCTTTAGTGTGTACTGGATAACTTTTGTATTCAGTTCAGTCACAAAGTGAACGATCCTCCAAAATCAAAGCTTAGCCAAAGTACGACACTAAAAAAGTAATGATAACGAACTGAGGAACCCGCACAATTTGGCGAACACAAAATTATCATGAAAGACTATAAACTGTATAGCAACATATATACATAAAGTAATAAGGAAAGTAAACAAAACGGACTGAATGAATCACACAATTCAAAGAACAAGAACAGTGAAGTCAGCAAATTGGCAGCAAATTAATTAATATTTTCACCGGCATTTCACCACGATACTAATAGAAAAATATTATCTCAAGGACTGTTTTACTTCTGAATCAGAATCACTTGCTTAGAGTACACTGTCAGCCACTCAGGCCATTAGCCGCAAGTGAAAGTACTGGTAGCTAGGTCATGCTATCAGATATAATGACATGGGTTGCAAACAGTGAGCCGTTCGTCATGGTACAGCCCACGTGTGTAAAAAATCAAACGTAAGTCACCATCTACAATATATACATTTGTATGTAATAAACAATGGTGTCTCTCGGTATTAAACAGGTGCATGTTTGCTAGTATGGCAGACTTCAAGCACAACAATAATAATTAAAACACAATTAAAGAAGTTAAAGGTTGGCGGCGAACTAACTACGTACATGTAAATGTACCAGTACATGTACCAGTACATACGGAACTGTGACCTGCCAACTTCACCGAGCAACTTCAAAATCCCACTACTGTAACTCGGTGTTCATTAACCATTAATGATGGTGGATGATAAACAAAGACCAGTTGGATCAGTAATAATAAAACAACGACGAATTTCTCACGTGACACAAAAACTCTGAAGAGAGACAGTTTGTCATCAGCTACACTTACAATATAAAGGAAACGAACGGGTCACCATTTGATTCAACTACATACTATGGTAAGAAAAATAGCCAACATTTTAGTCCACTAATACTAGCGAGCCATACGTTGCAAATTTTACTTTCTTAACAAAGACGAAAATAATTCTTCTACTTTGAGGCCCATTTCCCAAGATCTCAATGACACGTTAACATTGCGGGGAAAATCACTGTCAACATTCCGTAAATAATTTCATCAGGTTGGAAGATACTTAGGATACTGAGTTTTCTTCTTACACAACCAAAAGTTTCTCACCTGCTTAGCTGCGAGTTGCAGAACTCCAGTCAGAAGCTCCGAGGAAGGTGTCTGATAGACATCGAAACGTAAGCAGGTGAGAAACTTTGGTTGTGTAAGAAGAAAACCCAGTATCCTAACTGTCAACATTGTCTTAAACTGTGATACATGGCCAAGCCGTCGATCGTGATTTCTTTTTCACATATTGTGGTGACCCATTTCGAACCACAAACAAGAAGCCATAGGTGACAATTCTCCGTGAAGTATTATATATTGCAACAAAAAGAAGTAGCCATTGGCGACAATTCTCTGTGAAGTGTGATAAATCGAACAAAGAAAAATTGTTTAAACGCGCGTCGGCTCAGTCATCTTAAGACGCAACAACCAATCAGAGATGCGAGATGCCTATACGTGACGCGGGAAGGGCGCGCGATGCCCGAAATATTTTTGCGTCAATATTCAGCGCCGTGATTCAAGAGATTAATACCCGGAAACAATTTTTTTCTTGTTTTGAACGCATTAACATGCATTTACGCTAATCTAGTATGATTCAGGGTTACTTTTTTTTTAACCTGCCATGGCCAGATTATCTAAAGATGTGTGTATTGTGTGTACAATCTATAGAAAGAGAAATGTACATCAGGTCCGATCATCCGATTTTCACGTTTCGGTTTTTTGGACTCGGTTCATGAACGTATTTTGGTTTGGCTCCTGGAATGTGCAGAAAAATGACTCCCGGGACTGTCTACAGGGAACACTCGCACATTCGCGGTGTATCAGGACAGCGCGACTGGTCGTCATTAGCGCAGTAACAGTTGCATAAACGGACGAAACCATTTCAAAGAAATGGGGATGTTTCGAAAATAAGCATTTACTCCAATATCAAAACAGCTACGGTAAAAATAAAAAGACGTGCATCATCCCGGACATAATGCAACACCACATGCGAAATTACACAGAAATGCGACGTACGGAAGAATGCGTTTTGGCTGCGAACATCTTCCAAAAAACTTGGCATCTCTTAACCATGGGCAAAAACATCTGGAACCACTTATAAAAACCACCCCGTATCTGCATGAACTTTTTTGAACCCCACTGCTATTCCAAACAACGCGTTTTTCTGGACCATTCCAATTCGCCTCGTAATTGTAGGGGTGCGTCTGCGATATTACATTGACCGCGAAAGCAGCAACGGCAAAAATACACATTCGTGCATCAACACGGGCATGCCCGCAGACGGCGTATAAAATTGCGTGCCGATTACACAAAGAGAACCCAGTGTTTTGACTGCGAACATGAAAAATCAGCCGATTACAACACTCCGTCCGGAGGTCCTGACCTCCTTCACGGAGTAATAATAACAAGTATTTGAAATATACTGTATACTGAACCAGAAATACAATTTTTGGCTACAACCGCGACATTTACTAGATATTACAATTATCTTACATTAGGTACAAGTATACGAATGTTACAGAAACTAGCAAATACAAATGTGACAACATAAAACATACCTCTCAGTCTCACTTTACCTGACACCTGGTTTCTACCGGTGCGGGGATTACTGCACGGCCGCCCATTGAGGTTCCTTTGGCCGGCCGGTGTTTCGTACGGGACCAGAGCCGGCTAGCCCGGCAGACGTGACCAGGGAGTCGGGCCGAGATGACCGGGGACACGGGCGCTGACCGGCGGGAAGTCGGGCCGAGATGACCGGGGACACGGGCGCTGACCGGCGGGAACCGAGTTTGTCCGATTCCTTCGACACTCTCTTGTGATGGGCTTGGGACAGCAACTGTAGGTCTTTCAGTTTAAAAAAAATAACCACGCCTCTCTGTCCGCCCATATCATGTTATACTTCGACCAATCGTGGGCCCGTAGAGTAAGTTTAGACCCTTGAAGTCGGCCGCCGACGAACTATATATGGTTTACGTGGTAGTCCGTAGGTGGGGCGAGAAAGATGAGAAACCCTCTCATGTGGGACTGTTTTGGGGGCGGTACTATGTCGTGGGCTACCCATGAGCTCACATCTGGTACACACATGTAAGAACTCGCTAACACAGCATTCCTTTAGGTTAGCTTCTGCAACGCAAGAAGACCAAGCGTAATGCAGGAAGTCAGGGGATACAGGGAAACCAGCTGGAGATAGGTCCGTTGTATATAAACTCGCCTTTGCTTGAAAAGGCCGGGGCCGAAAAATTACTAACCTCAACAAGGCACCGTGGATCGCTGGAAAAATAGTAGAAATTGGCCAAAATAAAGGAATAATACCAGGGGAGTTAGCCGGCCAGAGAAGCCCCATTTTGCGACCCACGGACAATTTCTACTACTAGTATTTTTCCAGCGATCCGCGGTGCCTGATAGAGGCTAAAAAAATTACCGCCAAGCCGACCAAAGGTTTGGTACTATAACCTCCTTGCAAACACTTGCACCGTGACAAATCGCTTTAAATTGACACAACAATGTTATTATGTGTTCTCCGCATTTATGAAGAAAAAAAGATACGTTCAGCGTAATTTGTAGTTTGTACAAAGCAATGGTAAGATGGCTTTATTTATTGAATATTCGTAATCCTAGCAAAGACTGTTAGAAGATCCGAGAACTTCGGACGCCGTGATATACGAGTACTAGTTATAGAGCTGCGGGCTGTCAAAAACGGCTTGGTCTTGCATGATGAATTCCACAAATGAAAATTCTTGTTAAGGATATTCTGTATAACCAAGTGCAAGGACATTATACAGAATGTCCTCAACAAGAATTTTCATTTGTGGAATTGTTTTTATGTCCCCCATGTACGATGCACACGAAAATGTATGATTTACACAATGCGCCATGTCTTCATAATTAGTACGTCCGAAACGAAAATGTTTGCCCACCAAATACACTGACTCCGTTATAACCAGCGTGGGTACAGACGTAATCCAACAATGGGAATTTTTATTTGCAACACCGCCCCCAGAATGCACCGCGTGACCTCATTTCGGTGGCGTGGCACGTGATTACTAAGTATATACATACCATTTCTATACTTGCTATATTATCCATAAATTGAAATAATAAAACTTTATATCGACTCCAACACACCTCAAACTGAAGTAACTGATACTTTCGGAAAATTGTTCATAGATCGACGGAATAAATAGATTATTCGACTCAAAAGTAGCCATGTTCCTGAGCCTACGGTACAGGCATATCAGTTTCGTAAGGCGGTGCCGTTCGGCAACACAATGCTGAAAATCGTTGCTTGTGAAGCGCTAGACTTACGTTTGATGCAGTGATATTATCTAGATTTGTTTTAAAATGTCGACTTATCGTACATACAATCCAAGGACATCCTTCTGCAATGCGCCGGAAGCTTCGCTGCGACACACGTGATACATGCAATTAAAGAAAGAGCGGAATATCATGTGCTGTTCAACAACTCCAACATCATATGTAAGGTGTAAGGGTCTACCTAAATACCTCAACCGGTTTCAACCGAGCCTAATATGAAGTGTACATGGGTGATGAAATCTTTTGAACGCTCTGGATACATTGTCTATGCGGTTACGCACAGATATCATACAGTATCTCCTAAGTATTTGCGAGTTTAACTTATAACTTCTAAAAATCTTGCCACAAGTGGAGTCGCAAATGTTTATACTAAGTATTAGGTTATCGTCTTTTTAGAGAGTGATACACCCCGCAAAATACCCAAATAAATCCATAAACATGTTAAAGGAAGTATCGATGTATAAGTGCTGAGTTACTTTCCCGATTTTGACTAAGAATTTATCGCACGCCAGTTACATTAACGTTCCGGCGGCTCGATGCAAACAAACAATAATTACACAAAAAAATGTATCCATAGCGTTAAGAAGGGTTCATAACCAATTTACACTTCATATTAGACCAGGAAGCTCTCTTGGTCACTATTAGCAGAGAATATGACAAACCAAGGACATTATATGCACAAGTGTCCTTGACCACACACTTTTCCAAACATGTCCGCAGCCGAAATACGTTTTGTCACTCAAGAAAACAAATCTTAACCCTTCTCTTGCTGGTACCATGAAAATCTTTTGAGATCAGGGGGAGGCTAGGGCCATGGGAAAATAATTCGACCGGACGTTTCAGCGCACCAGCCCCCCTCTCCCCGGTGAATATCGTACAGTCTTGTTTTGGGTGGTCGACCCAATTTCCATAGATCGCAAAATGACAAAAAAAATTATTAGCCTGAGCCTGACTCATTATGAAACCATGGCGGCTTCTTGCGAAATGCAGCAGAAATTCTGGTTGCTAGCGCGCTTAATAACATGTGTACGTCAAGAACGGATAGGGTAAACACACGCGTCGCCTGTGTTTTTTTAAAAACATCATACTTGTTTACCATGTTATATGTTGTACATGTTTGTGTTTTTATTTTAGTACGAACCCTTTCCTTTTTGTATGGCCTTTTGGACTAGAGAGCATTGAAATAAAGACCATACTCCACTACCAGTCAGTTGTTGAAAGATAGATTAATTGATTGAATGATTGAATCTGCTTGTGTTGTTTTCCCTTACAGCAAGAGGAGAATGTGAACACGACAGAGAGAGTGTTCCAGGACAGACAGTACCAGATTGACGCTGCCATTGTCCGCATCATGAAGACCAGAAAGACCCTGACTCACACTCTTCTGGTGTCAGAACTGTACAACCAGCTCAAATTCCCAGTCAAGGTGGGCTTTGTCTTTATTATGTTTACCAAAGGAAAACATATTGTTTTTGCTCTGTTTCCTCTTCTTCTTCTCCTAACCAATAAGGGTTGATGACCTGAACCAGATGTATGTCACCATGGTAACAAGTGTTGGGTTACATCATGTTGCAATTTTATAGCAGGAGGGATTTAAACTCCTGTTTGACCATATACATGAATGTGTTTGTGTAACAGAGAAGGTAAACATTGTGCATTTTGCTTTGCAAATGTTACCTATAGTATCTAGTTTTTTTTTAGTTTCTCAACACCTAGAACAGTTGTTTTTTCTACTTTAAGATCAGTACATATTCACAAAGGCCTTAGGCTGGCTACATTGTACATGGTTGCAATTTGAACGTGCTAATAATGGATTTTGTTTCTATTGTTGTTTTCCAGCCTGCAGATCTGAAGAAGAGAATTGAGAGTCTTATCGATAGAGATTACATGGAGAGGGACAAGGAAAACTCCAACCAGTACCATTATGTAGCATAGGTAGACTCCAGGGCACCAGTAGGGTTACACATATCATATCATACGTTATTCTGCTACAAAACAGCCAGGGTTAGGGATCTGGGATGCCATACGTAACGTAGCACGACTTACACTGTTGTATCTGTCCTATAGGGTGCTGCCACATTCATTGTATGATTTAACAGTTTATAACAGTACATTCATAAAAACCAGCCTCGCAGCCTGTACAAAAACATGCTGAACAACACTGATTTTTTTACAGTTACTAGTCTGGCAAATACAAATTAACATTGCAATACATATACAACCACACAAACAAAAACATTACAAAAAGCCTCACATGGGCACTAAAGTAAAGACCAGAGAGCCATAAGAGTCTTACTGCGAAGACTCCTTGTACAGGCATATTGCCTTGTGTAAGAAAGAGTTTTTGCAGGTTGAAAACATATTTGAAACAGCAGATAATGCTTCAATAATTCAGATGTCTTTTGAAGGAAATGGTTGTCATACATGGCACTCTCTGTCTGTCATAGCCTCAATTGAAGTACTTAGAATGATAAAATTGTACAATGAATGTGCCACCGCCTTTTATCCAGTATTTGCCTGATAGACTGTTTAAAATGATTCACTTTTCCAAGATTTTGGACAGAATTAGACACATGACAGAACCCCATTAAAAGATGGTTTCATTGAAAGGAAATTACTTTTTTTGTAGTTTGGGAAAAAGCATCAATTCATTCTACTGTATACTCAAAGCTATCTTTACACAAAGTCTCATTGTTATTTTGGTCTTTGCTCTATGTGAAGTTTGATGTTACGGAAATGAACTTTGTCAACTCATTAACTGATTCCAAAATCAACAGAAACTGAAATGTGTACTATACAATGTACTTCATGCTACATTTTCTTTCTCACACAAGTGTTTTGCACTGTAAAATTGGCACAGGAAAAAAAGTTTGAGTAAGACTCAAAGTAACAGGGAATTACAATAACATCATTTCTCTTTCTGCTAATGTCATTTAAACACCTTGTTCATGACATGTACATGTACACATACTTTACATAATGTAAAACTATTTCTGAATCACTTACTATCTCTTAACACACCAGCTGTCAGCCATTTTTATGTTCCATGCTTAATTAGAGTCCTCTTCTACCTCACACAAACACACATGTGCACCTAAGACAAATTCTTGTGTCTAATTCTGTTCATAATCTGTTGGGCCACACCTTTTTATGCCCTTTGTTCTTGAACATTCCAAATAAAGATGAGGCCACACCAATTTAATTTCTTGGTTAACGGATTCGTCCGCTTCATTTTTTTCTGATTTGCAAAATTCAGAATCAACTGCAAAATGCTGATATTTTGCCCTGAACAGTTGAAAGCAGTCCTTTCTTCCTAGCTGTTACAGTTATTCCATCTTTCAATGCAGTGGTATCATTAAAAGTTCAAAATTCATTGATTGAATTTTGAACCAGCCTGGTGTGTTGACTTCATGGCTCCTATCGTACCATTTTGGGCCATAATAGGATGCCTAGGCCTTTTTTTTTCATCCGCCCGCTCCATTATTTTTCTAGAAAAATCCGTTAACCAAGAAATTAAATTGGTGTGGCCTGAAGGTAAAAAAAAACGTAGAAAGAGGTCAACAAGAAAACAAAGGGCTGGAAAGATAACTTGCACACTTTACTGATCCCTGATATTTGCTGGTCCATTTGTATATGCCCTCAGAGTAGGTGGTCACGTAATATTTTTTTTCAAATTCAAGAACCGACAACTTAAATTGGTGTGGCCATGGAATAAGTGAATCCTGTCCTCTTCCAATACATAAAAGATTTCACATGACTACATTTTGCCACAATGGAGTTCAAATTTTGCTCTGTACATTTTGTACATTAATAATAGTTGCAGAAAAAAGTAATGTAATTCAGTATTAATGTGAAATTTCAGATTTCTTGTTGCCTTTTTTTTAGATGAGAAGACTCCCAACTCATTTATCATTCTTTGTCCTGGAGTACATATACATGTAAGTGTAGATTTGCTCTACTACATTACCACAACAGAAACATGTCATTTTCATATGGCCAAACGGGCATTTTTCACCAATTGTCTTCATGATATTTAAAGATGTGCTTTCCTCTCACTATCAGACGTGTTCTGAGATATGCCGTAATATTGCATAAATTTTAGGCTTCCTTTCAGATGATAATACTTGAAGTCACAATATCTTACATTGAAGAGCAAATCAGTTTATAATCATGAATGATTGTTAAAACTTATCCCCAAATCCCCTTGTTTTACATTTCTTTCCTCCTTTGATTGTAATCTGCCCCCATTGTTTTATGTTTCTCACCTAAAAAAATGAAGGATGCCTGTCTGTTACTGTCATATTTAATATGTGTTACGTAAAAATTATCTCTCTAACATACACCTTCTACCATGTACAGGAAATGATATGATACCTTGTATAAAATGCGAGCTGTAAGAAATGTATCTATTTCTTACAAGACAAAACCATCCTTTGCTTAGTTCTGCCATATAAATTTCCCATGATCTATAAAAGACTGATTCTGTAAAAGTCCCTAACACTCCTGTACACAAAGACTGAAATAAGCAAGACTGGGATATTGTGTTTGAATACTGATGAACTTACCATTTGGGAATTAAAACATCTTGCAATCATTAGATAATCAAAACCTAAACTGTGTATCTAAAGAAATAGTGGGTGAACTGGAATGGATTCTCTAATGCATACGACAAGGAAAACCATTGAGATGTGTAGGTTTGGGGGTACATGTATAAAGCATGCAGGGTATAACCTATGCACAACAAGCTGTACCTACATGTATGATGGAACCTTCTTTTCTGTAAAGTCTCTCCAACAGTCCTATACTTCCCTACCATGACCTGGTACTGAAGATTACATGTATAATACTGGTTGATGTTTGCCTTTGTGAAATAATGTAGTATGAAGCACAAAGAGAAAGAAAAAAAACAACTACTACTAGGCTATCTCTGTGTGCTAGGATTGTTGAGTCGTTGGTGGATTCCTTTGTTAAGGAAAGGTAATGTTATGTTTTGTTTCATGGTAACCTGTCAAAAATGTATGAAATAATAAAGAGTATGTTAAAGATCATTGAATAGCTTCATCACCGCAGTCAAGTACATGTACACCAGTATTACTCTGTGTGTGTACGTGCTTGTGTGTGTGTCCGTGTTTGTGTGTGTCTGTGCGTGAAGTACGTGTGTGTGTGTGTACTTGTTTGTGCGTGTACATGTGTGTGTGTGTGAAGTAAGCGTGTGTATATGTACGTGTGTGTGTGTGTGTGTGTGTGAAGTACGTGTTTGTGTGTGAGAGTGTATGTGTGTGTGAAGTACGTGTGTGTGTGTGTGTACATGTGTGTGTGTGAAGTGTACATGTGTGTGTAAATACATTGCAAGTTCGTAGAAAACGGGCACATATAAATGTGAGCCCGTGACGTTTTCAAAATCATATCCAGTTGCTTGAGTAACTATTTTTTGGCGTATCGTATTACCTCGATGTCTAACCTTCATCGACGTACAACTCTGTAGCTTCTTTGACGTCACGCAGATAACACACGTGACTCCGTGAGCAGTGGAGTCTGGATTAAAGAGGCCATCTACATCAGGGCATTACAACCATCCGTCAACAGAGACGGGGGGCGCCACAGACTTTCTGCAACCTATGATCCACTGTTCACGGAGTCACGTGTGTTATCTGCGTGATGTCACGGAAGAGGTGGATTGCTCATTCCTTTTTTGAAAGACTGGAGTTGTACAGTCAAAATTTGGATAAGTCCAATTTGTTGTGTTGGAAATTGCAGTTTAAACTTGCTTCATAGGCCATTGGTACCACGTTAAAGACCACAAGCAACGTGCTCTACGAAAGGTTACAATACCTCTTTCACAGAGGTAATAAGGTTCAACGCTTGTGTGAGTAGTTAGTAATAAATTTATTACATGTAATATTGTCTACTTACTGAAAGAAACTAGTACTATGTTAATACATTGCAAGTTCGTAGAAAACGGGCACATATAATATGAGCCCTTGTTCTCAAAGCTGTCATAATAAGACATCACCCATCATGACTGATGTAGCAGTGACATATCGCTAGGGTTGTATGTAAAGCAATTATTATTACAGTGCTTCTTATCGCTTATTATTAATTAAACTAGTGAAGCAAAAATTAGTGATAGAATTTGAGCACCACGACTCTTACAGAATTACAGGTAATTCATAGCAAATACACTATACGTTATAGAAAAGAGCGTTATGTATATCATAAAAATGATGCTATGACCTGGTCTGCCATTAAATTTATTGTGTATACGCGTGTTGTACAAAATGGTGGCCGGTAGACTTAATTAAGTACACGATGTCGTATTCTGGTTGGCTGGAATCTTGAGCCAGACCTATAGTTAAATCCGAACGCTTATAATGACTAGGTTTACACAATGCAAATGAAGATTTACCCAGCTTCCGACTTCCAGGTGTAATCATCCAACATGGCGGACAACGCTTACGTCATAATCACGTGAGTACAAATACCAGAATAATAGCAGTAGTTGGCAAATGTACTAAAAGTAAAAAAAGCACCACTGTATGGGAAGTACCAACATCACCCTGGTGCACCGGAAGCAATGTCTGGCTTAAATTTAAAAGGAATTGCCTTGATAATGACGTTTACTGTGAGACGACGACATTTTCGTAACATGTTTTGTAAGCACCTGGCTAAGTACTTCTAATTGCGCAGTTTAAACTTTGCTTCACTTTTGATGTTTCATTGGCGTGATGTCGTCTTGCTGATGTCTCATAACGTCCGGAGGCCTGGTACGTCGTTCTTATAATGACGTTGTTGATGCCTTACAAGGACGTGGCTATGTCTTAATGATGTTGTCCTCAGGACCGAACGGGAAGCCTGTGATGTCCTCCGCCCCGTCCTCCGTCACCACCAGGATGTCGTGCTCCCGGTACCCGCCCGATCCCGGCATGCCCTCGGGGATCATGATCATCGGCTCCATGGAGATGACCATCCCGGGCTCGAGAACGGTCGGGATGTCCTCTCGCAGCTCCAGCTCTGGGAACAAGAACGGAAGGATGAAGATTCCTAAAAACAATACATTCCTAGGATATCCTAATCTTTGAAAATTACAGTTAAGACTAATTGCGCATGCGTTTATTTTTTGTGATGGTATCATATCTCAATAGACAATTTCAAAAATTTTTAACTGAAGACATCCGAATAATACATATTTTTATATGTCTTGTCGCCATGCTTTTTTGTAAGAAGACCACTTGTCCAAGACGGCCACTTTTCCTCGGGTGGTCGTCAAGAGAGGCTTGACCTTTCTACTCTGTAATATATCTCAATAAATCTGTGATCTCCCGCGGTTCAGACCTGCTTCCCTGCCGTAGTAATGACACAGAGATCCGAAGGAGTGTCCGTAGCCGAAGCTGCGGTACTGCAGCAGCCCGTGTTGCCGGTACATCTCGTTCAGCTCGGTGGCGATGTCACAGCAGCGCGCTCCCGGCCGGATCAGCTCCAGGCCCCGCCGGTGGACCTGGTAGTCACAGGGGTGGGAACAGTACAGAGAGGTGAGACTAATTATTTTAAAGAAAAAAAAACAACGAGGGAGACCGACTTTTATAAACACTGTTGCTACGGAAAAGTACCGTGGCCGACAAGTACACGCCTGCGTTGCCTGCGCAAACACGTGTACTTGTCGGCCACGGTAGAAAATAAATATTCACTGATAGATAACCAGTTATAGACAGAGCTTTATTAATACCTGACAGTTGATCTCCCAGAGAGCGAGGTGAGCGTCTGAGGCGTGGTTCAGGAACATGGTCCTCTCCAGGGCGGTGTAGTACCTGGGGTACAACGACGGAGATGACAACTTCAAGTCAACAGTTTTGATTAATGAGGCAAATGTACATCTATGTTTGCAATGAAATGTCTGTAAAGTCTGCATTGTAGCAATACCCTGAGTGTCTTCTAGCTCCTGATATTATCGAATACTGAAATTGAATTATCATAGATTGTAAATCATCGATTGAAAAAAAAGAAATATAGCAGAATCTTCAGAGTCGTACCCAGAAATCATTGGGAAGGTGTTCAGTGACAGGATGTCCCCACTGCGCACGCGCCGTGACGTCACAGGGTTGTGTGCCCCGTCAGTGTTGATCCCTGACTGGATCCAGGCCCAAGCTGGGAGTGAAGGGAAGAGACTCTTAGTAAAAGGTAATTGGTATGTTCTAACACTAACTACTATAATATAATACTTATTAATGGAGAAATTTGTAAGGTACTGGGAAAAAGAGGAATAATTGTTACACATTTCATACAAGCAAATTTATAGTTATTGAAGTTTAACCAACCAACATGGCGGCTGTGACGTCATGTACCAACCAACATGGTGGCCGTGACATCATGTGACACAGCCTTATAAGGAAGTTTGTACTGACTATTCATGAGTTCGCCGTGCGGGTAGGTCCTGGCCACTTCCCTCGTCATGGCGTTGGCAGCGTGGATCGCCAGCTCGTACTCAGGCACGCCCTCTTCTAGCGCCTCCACTACAGCCCAGCCGCCCAGGTCAGCAATACGGGCGCCTTCTCTGCTCCAATCACGGCAGGAATGGACCATAGATAGAGGAATTGGGGTGAGGGGGATGGACACAGAAGAAAACAACACAGCTGCAGTTGCAACTCATCCTTACGCAGCTCTAAGTTGGAAATCTTTAAATAGAAGTTTGTCTACCATTCTTAATCAACATATGCGGCATAAAAATGCTAGGGTAAGCTTTGGCTAAGGTAAGTACAATAAAAATCCTAAAGATATACTAGTAACAGATATATCAGCAATTTGAGTGCACAACAGCTTGAAATTCTGATCAAAGAAGATACACTGATGTAACGTTATATGTGTTGCACACATCACTGTTTACCCTTCATTCCTTATCCCACGTGTCTATCCGTCCGGAGACCCTCTCTCTACACTCTCTACAGCCTGTTGTGAGAAAGAGAGTCCTCTTATTCATAATGCACAATATCGATATCGATGCCAAAACATCACTTCATAACTTACGTCTTTGCAAAAATGTCTCTAATGACTCTACTCTCCAAGCAGAGGTTTGGTTTTTTTTTGCCTGTTTTTAGGCTTTTTCATCGGGGTTTCTTTTCACCCACCCCCAAAAAAATCCAGTTTAAAAAAGAAACCCGAGGAAAAAGCCTAAAGACACGCCAAAAATAACCCAAAACCCAAACCTCTGCTTAGAGAGTATCTAACGACCATGTATCTGACGTCATCAAACCGGATGTGACGTACTCACCTGATGAGAGCAATCTCCTCGTCGGACTTCTTCATGCGCAGGCGCATGGTGGCCTTCCCGATGTCCGTCTTCTGCATGTCGGGCACGGCAAGGTTCAGCTTGGTGAAGCCGTCCAGCGTCATGTGGTCGAACTCCACGCCCAGCGTCATGAGGCCTCGCCCCGCCAGCTCAACTTGGACCGCCTGGTAGAAGTTGTCGCGCTGCCAGTCGGTGTAGACGACGTTGTCGCCGATCTGCGTCCTTCTCCAGGGTTGTCCGCCATCGATAGCTGCAATGTTTCAAATCAAGGAAAAACAACTGTCAAGCTATAAAAGTTTTATAACAAGTTTCTTCCGGATGAAATGATGGTTAAAGAAAAAATAACAGACATTGATATCTTCTGCTTAATTACTTATCCTCTGTTCCGATTACAAAAAAACGACATGACAACATCCAGGTTTAAGCATCCAGCATGGCAGACAATACTTACGCCATAGTCACGTGAGTGCAAAAACCTAAATGCATCTTTGGAAAGCATTTTCACCGGATATGACGGTCGTAGGGGATAGGGTTTGTGTCCTCCCACCAGCAACACATCTAGTATGAATTAAGATCAATAAAGGACACGGACCTCCATGTCCCTGCATCAGTCTTGCCCAAGTCGTGCACATGGTCAAGTGTGGGCATCCTTCCATCAGGCTTCAGTAAACTTAACACTGGTGGCAGCGGTGGGATACGAACCCACGCCATCGAAATAACTGGTTTGCCCAAATCGTGGTCAAGTGAGGACATCCTTCTATTAGGCATGAACAGTATACTATACTTGACAACGTACCTGCGGATATGGAGAGCACTTTGTCCATGGTGACGACCAGTCCGTAGGTCCTGCCGAAGGCGCAGTACAGAAAGTCGCTGTAGTAGTTGATGTTATGGTAGGACGTGAAGAGGACGGCGTCTATTCTGCTGGTGATCATGAAGGTGCGCAGCAGGTTGAGTCTCCTCTGGAGTTCCTCCACCGAGAAGGTCGGCTGGACCTACGGAAAGGACCGTCACAGGACTCGGTCATGGGTGCCTAAACCTGAGTAGCTAAAAAGGCTGACACTCAGGCTAATGGGTGTCATGGGTATCATGCGTCAGTAATATTTGTTAAATGTTGTGGCAGAAAAAACTCTCGGGGTTGACTGATAAGTCGGGCTACAGCTTTGCTAGAAAAGTGAGACTGGTTTTGTTCTGGTAATGAAACCATTTTGTGCTGTTTTAGGCGTTACCTTCTATAGCAGAGGTTTAAGCTTCGGCTTATTTTTTACGTGTTTTTTTGGGGGGTGGGTGGGTGATTTTATCGGGCTCTGTTTTTGTACTGATAGCCTCGGGGGCAAATAGTAACTGGCCAATTTGATACTTTTCTTTCCAGCCATCAAAAGATCTCAATATTGGAGATTCGTCAAGTTACCTTCTGTCCGTTCGGTCTCTCGACCAGCCGGGGCATGAGTTCGTCAATCAGCGGTAGCTGCTGGTACTGGGAAGCGTCCATGTGCTGTTTCCTGACCGGGGCGGGGTTGTGGGTGTCCAGGTACGGCGGCCTGCGACCACCGGAGGGGGAGTGCATGTCCTGTGTGGTGCCGGTGTAACCATGGGAGGAACCTACAATGCAGTGGACACAATTTAAATCCCTCTGTCTCTTCTATTCTGTCTAGAGAACAAGAAATAGCCACGCATTCAAGTACCAGAGTTATCAACCAAGGATTGAGGTGTTCAAGAATTCATTCTTTCCTAGAACTATCGCAGAGTGGAACTCACTGTCACCAAGTACAGTAGGGGCATTGTCAATAGATAGCTTTAAACAATGTATAGAGCTAGAAGTTCAAGGGTTAGGTGTAACAAGTCGATCGGTGTAATATAGCCAGCTGCCGCCGCGCCGCGTGCCTGCGAAGCTGGTGTGTTACGCCGAAAGGCGGTTATACCGGCTATACAGATACAGATATCCCCCCTCTCTGTCCCTCTCTCTCCCTCCCTCTCTCTCTGTCTGTCTTTCTCAGGCTGTTTATACTTCTGCACGTTTTCACTTTTTTACGGTCATGTACACGCACAAACACACCGTGACGCACGTACGCACGCACACACGCACACACACACACACACACACACACACGCACGCACGCACACACACACACACACACACACACACACACACACACACAGAGACTTGAAATGAGATAAAAAGCTATCTCTCACACACAGTGACACACACGACAGAGGCTCACCAAGACTCCCTACTGGTGTTGGCCCTGGCCCATGGCCTGTCTCGGAATGCTGACATCTTGCGATAACTGCCGGTACTGCAGCTGTCAGCTTCTGCAAGTCGGGCAAGCCCTTCTCCCAGAGAACTCGGGAACTTGATGTCAATATCTTCCACATGTCTTACCTGTAACGGTAGATGTGTTGGTTATGAACGTATTACTAAGCTTTACTGATCCCAACACCACACCTGGTACGACAGAACCAACAGAACAGTACAGTCACTACTCAGTACTGTACCGGATCAAGGACGTTGAACGTCCTTGACCGGATGTATTGACAAAGACAGTGCCTTAGCTCGCAGGCATGGAGGTATTAATTCAACCTCATTGCTTATAGGGTGTCATTGTATTCTAGCAACAAGTTCATTGACCTTAAAGCTTGCTTGTAACAAAAGAAGAGGAAGAAGCCGACCTGAAACAATATGCTTCCCTTCTGTGAAGGCAAACACAAAACTCGTATTCAGATGCAGTGCATTTGCCAAAGGCGCTAGCTGTGATTTCGGTGGTGCATATGCGTCTATAAGACTATATCTTGTACTGCCTTTTCTGCCGATGTTATTCGAAGTTATAATGCTAACATGTATATAGTAGAGGGGATTCATTCCACAAGCTAACCGACATCCCGCACACGCAGTCGTCCCTCAGTAAGACATCTTGAGCCGCATAGTTCCCGTTTAGAACTTTTCTTCAGCCTGTCACATAATGCTAACTTGTTTACAGTATAACCAAGGACACTTCTAGCCCGCAGGTGCATGATCAGAAGCCCCGCTGAGTCATCCAGAGTTCAGATATTGCTGACAGACGTTTTTAAGTCTCCCTTGCGTGCGGCACAAAGCCCACATGTGTTTGCCCGGCCGACCAAGCTTCTTGCATGAGTCACTCTGGGCGGCTGTCAACAAGTGTAAGGTTACTTACGGGTGTTGGCGGTGTTACATGATTTGGCATGGACAGACTAATATAAGTCAATCCCAGATAGCAGATCTAGGCTTTATTACATATCAACTTGTCCTTAATTTGGCATACACGCAGAAAACACGCAGACACAATATATATATCGACAAGCTAAAAACAGCCATTCTCCCTACCCCCAAAAGTTTGTATGCTATATGCTCTCTAGTGCTTTTAATTGATGGTATTTGCTATGAAACTTGTTTAAATTTATTCTTATACAATATTAAAAAAATGAATCGAATCTTTTGTTACCACCCCCCCCCGGAGAGTACAAATCGAAGGAGAAAATTATTTCACTACAACGACGTCGACCTGCAAGCCTTTTTAACTCAAAAAGATCTGTCGATTTGGTGTAACCCAGCTAGCCTTGATCGCCACTTAACAACAAGGTAACTTTATCTGCTGACTCACAGACTTGCTAACAAGGTTTCCTGCTGACTTCCCCTTCTCCCTCATGCGTGCACCAGATAACAAAACGACACCACACTGTCAGCCAGCAACTTGGCCCGGTATGTAGTTACAGCGATTTAACCTCAGTCCAGTTTAGCCTCCGTAGCAGGCTTATAGAACTGGGAGTTTGGAGGTCTTCGGCTGTTTTCTGATTAGCCGCAGTTCTGAAAAAACGGGGGTAATTAAACTAGGCCGGCTATGTTTTCTATATGCAATTAGAAAATATCACATAAAAGCTCCCAAAGACCCTGAAGACCCCCAACCCCAACCCTCACCCCAGTTTTTGGCATGCTATGGAGGCTAAGTCCGGTTACCTCTGGACAAATAAGCCACTTGCTGTGATGTCAAAACAAACGTGAGCGACTCTAAAAGTCCTTGTCCTTGACAGAGATTACGACTAGAACAAAAACAGACGTGATCGTCCATTCATACGAGGGCCTTTGCTACTATAACCCGCTTCATGCCCGACTGAACATACGTCAGTGGGACAGTATAATAGTGTGCAGTCAGTTCATTAAAGCCCTGGTGTACACACATATACAGGGACAACCTCGGGTCAATGTCAACAACAGGTCGTGCGGAACACAATAAACACTTTTGTTCTAAGACGTTGCAGTGGCCGCGCTCCCAGTACAATGTTTTGTTTCTGTCACTTTGTGGGTCTGTGACAGAAAGTGGACAAGGTCAAGGATGCGTTCAGTTTCATCGTAAGAAAGCTCAAGGACATTATACACTTCTGTATAATGTCCTTGGACAGCTGAATATTGTACGGACACGGACACATCTTTAAGATTCGTCTTGTTTGTCTAATGTTTTCCGTGCGTGTGCATGTATGTAAGACAATCAATCAATCAATCAATCAATCAAATGGTTTATTTGCGAAGAGAACTGTCGTAGTGGTTTAATTTCAATAAACCTGATAACAAACCTTTACATAGCAACGAATCCCAAAAATCAACTTGAACTTCGAATTCATAAAAGAATTCGAATTTGGCCAGTTCATAAACAAAATAATTACCATCAGACTTTCTGACAGAAAATGTCAGGAAAGGTCGGCCTGGCACGCGACGGTCGACCTGGATGATGTAACAAACTTGGCATGGGTTCCTCCTGGTCTCGTTTCCGAACAGCTGGAGCTGATTATCATTATAATACAGCAAAGTTCACGGTCAAGTTTAATCTACGGTAATTCTGTACGGTCAAAGACAAAGTGCAGCAAAATGCAAAAGCTGAACCCTTGAAGTAACCCCAGGCGTGTGAATCATTATCAAAACGACGCCGATGGTAGGGTCTGTCGCGGATGCTTAGACTAACTAATGCCGGCAGCCTAGAAAGCTGTATCTGTTCATTACACTCCCCTAAGGTGTAGGTTTGCTGGGTTAAGTACGGATTATGGTCCGCACGCAACACGGCAGAGTCATATAAGGACTTCAGCATCACTCTGGCCAGCTCATCAAAATATCAGCCGCGGCCCAGAAAAACATCCATCCAACCGTGCGGCTGCCTTCCAAGCCGAATAAGAACATCGGGACACCTTAACTTGATATGCGGGACGATTTATCTGACCAGTTTGACAGCCATTACATATTTGCTTTTGATAAGGACCATAGAGGTAGAATATACAACCTCCATGTAAGGACTGATCAGAAATCCACCTGTCAGCAATTACAAGTGATTTGTTGTTTTCCACCCCACCCACCCCCGCTATCTAATGGAATATCCTAGTACGACCCTGTTGCCATGGAAACAGGTATTGTTGAACATGACTTCATGCGTGTGTCATTACCAGCTGTTCTTTGTTCGGCTGGGAGTGACGGCACACACTTCGGGGTGCCATGGCAGGCGGCGTGCACTAACGTCACAACATTATTCTTGGTCCTCTGACATGTCTAAGCTAGAATTTGGCAAGAGATCAAAACAGAAAACGGAGGAAAGTATGTTGGCATAAATACAACCCGAACCTTTTTTTCATGTTGCTGAATAGCATCAATTTTTTTTAATCCGCTAACCAGTGAATTGATATGGTATGGCCTATACAGCTTATAATGATGCCACAGCGGTAACGGTAACATAGACTTTCGCAGTTGACGGTTCATTGCAGATGCAAGTATAACCAGCCGAGTGCAATTATTATGCGTTATTATCAATATTAGCCACATGAGATGCTTTCGACTGAGAAACAGTATTTACCAAAGAGACTAAGTGGTGAATGTCGTACCTACAGTCAAACATATATCCTATATAATTGTCTATAAGCGAAAAACAACATCATCGATCAACTGTAGCTTGATGTGGATGTGCGTTCGAAAAAATAATTCTTCCTGACTGTCAAAAGATCAGAACATAGGCGAATTAAAAACACCGACGTCCGAAGCCCTTCAGAACTGCGCAACAAAGAAAACCAGCCCAGGGCAGCCTTCGATCACAACAAAAATGACGCAACGCTTACCTTTCTACCTGCGGCTAGCACTTCCGGGTAGTGGGGATATTCCACGACGTATCTGACGTTCGCCTGCGATATTGCCGGCTATATTCCTGTATACACCTTCTGCTGTATTGTATAGTCTAGAGGAAAGATCTGGGTGTCTTCCGAGCCGGTTTGGTGAGATCCTTCCCACTTGCGTTGGCCGCGGGGTGTGCGGTTGGTGACAAGTGCGCAGGTTTTTTTGGCCCGACGTAAACAACCGGTGGTGGAGTCACGGGGCCAAGTCAACTCGTATTTACTGGCTGGGGCCGCGGATTGCGCAATCAAAGATGGACGGCGGAGGATGTGGAAGAGGTTCCCGGGATACCGTGTATAGCTTTTCCTTGACGCTAAAAAAACTGACTCAGGAGGAACAGACGTCATGAATAATTTCACCATGTGGGTACATCTAAAAATATTAAAGTTCTCTGTATCTGTATATATAGCCGGTATAATTGCCCTTCGGCGTTACACACCAGCTTCGCAGTCACGCGGCGTGGCGGCAGCTGGCTACATTACACAGAACCACTTGTTACCCCTAACCCTTGAACTCTAAACATTGTTTAAAGCTATCTAATGATAATCTCCCTACTGTACTTGGTGACAGCTATACACAACCAAAGGACAAAAAAAAATTACTTGAAAACGTTTCGGTAGTACGCCTGCTACCTTCCTTGGAGCAATAGTGACTGGAGCCACTTCTCGTCACTAGGTGGCGCTGCAGCAAGAAGACTTCGTTTCCAAACGTGACTTGTCTTGTATCCCCTCTCGTTCTGGTTTTCCACGATTTAAATGTGTGTCTGACTCCCCATACAGGCTGGAATTACTCTAGTACTAGTATCTAAAATGGTTAGTTTCATACAGGTTTTGTCTCTGATACACGTAAGCGTCGGTGTTGTGAACTTTTCGCTTCTGGCATAAACTATGGCAGCGTGCATAAAAATACTGCTTTCAAAAACGTGGGCCCAATTAATTTTGCCAATTCAGCGGACTTTTCTTATTCGTCAACGTCACCACATCACTTTTTTTGTTTAATATACCAGAAACTCCTTGAAGAGCCTCCATATTTACTCACTCGCGTGGTGGAAAACTTTAGACTTGTGGCACGACAGCAGAATTTTAATCCGTCTGAAATCTGTGCTAGACTGTCGCGCACCGACCCTTATCACAAAACCGTTTGGCCTTGTCCTACAGGTAAGTCGTGTTTTCCGTCAGAGAACGCGCAGGTGTATTGACCCAATTAAAAGTGTACACTTCGACACCGTATTCATGTTTGCTATTGATACCGCTAAAGCCGTTTTGTATGTTCGATCTGATTGAATAAAGCCTTGGTTTGACCTTCATGCACCAGTGTGCCACCGAGGTTATCATATCTTGCGTCATCGGCAAACAAAATAGCGACAAACTGGCAACAGGTCGGGTCATGCGGTTCGCCACACGGCTATCACATGTCGTCCAATCAGCGCGTGTCATTTCAAACACGCCCACCGTACGCCCACGGCATGTAATTTGAGAAGGACCTTATTTGTACGCTGGGCTACGTATGATTCGCCTTGCCTCCAAGCAGATGTTAGGAGGAAGATGTAACATTCTGCGTTTGTTTGCATCGTATAGCCCACATAACGCCTCATGGCGTAATACACTAGTCTGTTTCGACTCACACTGGGCGGACTCCTACTCTAGTCCACAACGAAGTGCGTTCAGGACATCACAACACAAGAAGTTCCACAGAATTCTGTCGACGTCTTGGCTTTGTGTCAACGGGGAGCGAGAAGGTGTACAACAGTATAGTTGTGGCGAATCCAAAACTCGGAAGAAGAAAATGTTTCGAAGAAGAAGTACCAGTAACGTTACACGGACTATGATGATGATGATGATGATGATGATGATGATGATGATGATGATGATGATGATGATGATGATGATGATGATGATGATGATGATGACGAGGATAAGGCCACAGCAATTGATTTTTATGGATGACATCAGCGCGCGCATTAATTTTCGCCTGATTTTGAAAAAAAAAAGACATTTTGTTGCCTTCTGACAGTGGTCACCATGCCGAAAATGGGCGAAGACGTCTGGTGGATGGCAGATAACTGTAAAGAGAGGAGACAAGAAAAGGCTCTGATTTAATGTTTTGTTTCTTACTTTGATCAAGGACATTGTGATGTTGGCTGTATATATGTGATGTTCCCACTGAATCAAGACCATTTGTACAATGATTGAGTCAGAATTTTAAAATTCTAAAATGTAGGAACCTTGTTTTTGTCGGCTCGCCTTATTTTTTCGCCCGCTCGCATTAGATTTGGAGTCTGCGGAGGATGTCATCCATAAAATTGCCTTGCTGTGGCCTAATGAGGCAGCAGAGGGCTGTCACGTGATCAAAACAACATGGCGGCGCCCAGTGGCACGTTTGGGTCGAGGCAGGCGGTGGTATAAAACGATCGTATTTCTCAGTAACATTTGATACTCATAACGTCTCCCAGCTATCGGACGCAATCTCAAAGTACAGAATTTAAGATTATCCTTTTGAATAGAAGTGAATATCAACGCCGAGCCCAGACTCCCACGTGAAAGTTTAGAGTGGGGAGGGGGGCAGTTTGTTATTCTTCGGACTTTTCAGCACAGTAGGGTATTTAGGATGGATCTGAAAGTTTCAAATGAAGAGGATGAACAACCTCTGGACAACGCAGGTAAAGTTGAACGGGTTCCAGACATGGACACCCCTGAAGACGACAGGCTTGTGTCACTCGCAGACGACACAATCGAAGAGTCTCAGTCGTCACAAGGTTCCACTAGTGTGGGTGAAACTGTGTTACCTGAAACTCCTGAGAGAACCGGTGGTCAGGAACAGAGCCGAGACGGAGGGGAGGGGGACGGAGATACCGGGGACAAGAGTTCTGGACAAGGGACAAGTCAACCAGGTACACTGAACAGAACACTGTAGAAAATAATAACTCGAATACAAATTTTAAGTATTTGAAGATAACCTTTCTCATTCTATAGATCTATCAGATATAAATCAGTACCATTAAAATTCTCAAAGTCTATTATTATATCCTCTGAACATTTACCTGTGATGGGAGGGACTTCCCGCAAAACTGTACATAGTATTTATAAAAACACTTCATTGAGTGATCATGAATTTTTTTACATGCTCCGCTGTTTAACTAGTGAGCCCAGAAAATGATTTTGTTTTGTCAATTTTTGTTGCAAACTGCCAGTTCAAACCTCCTTCAGTGAAGTGACACAATTCTTAACATTTTGCAAAGAATTCACTCACTTGTTTAAAGTTAAAACTTTTGATCCAACACGAAAATTCTCTCACCTAGAGCTTTCAACCAGTCACTCTGGTCTTCCTCAGTAGACTGACCCAGTGAAGCTTGTCACGTGGCTTCTTTGAAGTGTGACGTCAACACTGGGTCAAAGGTATCTGGTAGACGATGTCGGCCCCCGTCGCGGTTCAATGTAGGGTGATGGGCCCTGATGTAAATGGCTTCCTTCACCCCTCTCAAGAAATAGTCTTGTTCAGTGTCTAAAATCCTTACAGTGTCTAGTGAGACATGGTGTCCGGGTGACTCAATGTGAATGTGTTGAGACACCTCTGAACTGGCAGAACTAGGCCGTGTATGTTCCTGAAACCTGGCTTTTAAAGACCTCTCCGTTTCACCAATATAAGTTTCCTGGCAGGGCCCCCTGTTATTCTTGCCCTGGCAGGGGATGTGGTAGATGACACCACACTTCTTCTCTTTGGGGGTTTTATCCTTGGGCGCAACAAGAATGTGTCTTAAAGTAGTGGTTGGTTTGAAACAAGTTGCAATCCCGTGAGAAATGAAAATCCTCCTGAGAGCTTCAGACAAGTCCTTGATGTATGACAGGACCACCAACCCTTTGGACTTTGTTCCTGCTGAGGGTTTGGTGTTAGGAGGTTTTGGGCAGGTCGCTTTGTTGATGGCCCACTGGGGGTAGCCACAAGTTTTTAATGCCTGGGTCAGGTGGGACTTCTCAGTCTCTAAATCCTGTGGATCTGACAATTTCTTGACACCCTTACAGTCATACAGGAGGACGGGTCACTACAGATACGGATTTACCGGAAACCCACACACACGGATCAATACCTAAACTTTGACTCTAACCATCCACTTGACCACAAACTAGGGGTGATTAGGACTCTATTTCACAGAGCCAACACCATAGTGTCAGATCCACAGGATTTAGAGACTGAGAAGTCCCACCTGACCCAGGCATTAAAAACTTGTGGCTACCCCCAGTGGGCCATCAACAAAGCGACCTGCCCAAAACCTCCTAACACCAAACCCTCAGCAGGAACAAAGTCCAAAGGGTTGGTGGTCCTGCCATACATCAAGGACTTGTCTGAAGCTCTCAGGAGGATTTTCATTTCCCACGGGATTGCAACTTGTTTCAAACCCACCACTACTTTAAGACACATTCTTGTTG